GAGGTGCAGTGGTTGGAGGTGCAGTGGCTGGTGTACAGGGAGAAGAGCAGGGGAGAAAGAACACAGCCCTGTGGGGCTCCTGTATTTATAATCCGAGAGTCCGAGACATTCTTCCCCAGACGCACTCGCTGCTTCCTGTCCGTCAGGAAGTCAGTGATCCACTTGCAGCTGGAATCGGGCACGTTGAGCTTAAAACTAAAAACTCACACAGAAAAAAAATGAAATCAGAAGTAAATAATACTTGAAATGTGTGTTTATAAAACTTTGAGAAGTATTATTTCCTTGTTCTTTCGTCAATTCATTTTTTCTTATTTTAAGCAGTATTTAAATTATTTTCTTATGTGTTTTTCTTCTTTTTTTCTTTTTTCTGGGCGTGTCCACTTCTTCTCTCCTCTTCTTCTCCGTTTCCAGACTCAGCGTTAGTCTCAGAGACCTGGTGCTTCTGCCTCGTCCCAGTCCGTTCCTCTCCATCTCGACGTCTAATCAGTTCCTCGTTAATAACCGTCCTCTAATGAAGCCTTCAGTGATTGGACAGAATCTGGGTCGAGGAGAGATGTAAAACACAGCTGTTAAAGTCTGCACAAATATTCATTATTGATTAAAGAGCTGAGTCCTGTCTCCTGCACGGACTCCACATGGTCACACTTTACCTCTAATTACATCAGTTTCTCTTCACTTTCATTTTCATTTCAGACATAACTCGTTCAGACGCTCGGCAGTTCGGTTTCACTGTACTCTAGCAACTTGTGAAAACATTTATCAATATATTTTAAGTTTTATTTTATATGTATGATGTAAAGCAGCTGTGTTTGTGGACAAGTCTCTCCATAAGTTCATCTGTGACATGTTAGTGCCATATAAAGGTCAAGGTGCACTTTATTAATCCCCGTAGGGCATTTCACCCTCTGCATTTGACCCGTCCTGAAGCTGCTAAGGCTTACGTCAGGAGCAGTGGTCGTGGTAGTAACAGCGCCCGGGAACCCATCTCCAGATGTTGATGCTCGGTTTGGTCAGGACTACCTGAGCTGGAGGAATTAACAAAATGTGTTCATGTTTTTAGTGGAAGAGGAAACCTACAGTATGCAGACACGGGGAGCACATGCAAACTCCACTCAGGAAAGCCCTATTCCTGTGCTAACCACTCAGCCATGGTGCCGCCCTATTTATTTATTTTTCCGGCCTCCTGCTGGGACTCTGAGGAGCACAGGGACTGGACTCCTGCTGTGACTCTGAGGAGCACAGGGACTGGCCTCCTGCTGGTCCCAGAGTCAGGACTAAACATGAGGAGGTATCATTTCAGATTCATGAATTTCAGATTTTCCTGAAAATGTGACTACCCTGGTCTTATCCTTCCGTACTCTCCGGTCCATCATCATTTCCTGAATGTAACGTCTGGGTCTGGTCCCTGTGTTTGCGATTACTATCAGTTGAATTCCATCTGACCAATCAGCGAGCGCAGGAGGCGGGTGTTGTAGTTAGATGTGGGTGACGTCAAAAGTTTGCGCTGAACGGGCAGGTTGTAGTTTGACAATGGCGGAGAATGCGATAGTAAAGAACTCTGGTCAAGAAACTGAAGCCGGAGCAAGAGGAATGTTTATCAAATGTAATTTCTGGCAAAGATTGTGCCGTTCCTCCCCTCGGGCTCCGTTAGCGGCAAAGGAGATGGCTAGGCTAAATGCTAAATGCTAACAACTCACCAGGGCGCATTACATACGTCAGTGTTTTTAAACCTTTTTTGAGCCAAGGCACACTTTTTTATTGAAAAAATCTCATGGGACATCACCAGGAGAAAATGTACAAAGATTTACTCTGTTGCCTATGTTTCCAAAATAAAGTCATTCTCATCAAAGTGCTTAAAGAGACATCCAAAGTTTAATATTTCTCAATACAACGAGTTAACAAGAGTATATAACTCCTACTCTATATATACAGTATATAACTCCTGTCGTATATGTACAGTATATAACTCCTGCTCTATATGTACAGTATATAACTCCTGTCGTATATGTACAGTATATAACTCCTGCTCTATATGTACAGTATATAACTCCTGTCCTATATGTACAGTATATAACTCCTGCTCTATATGTACAGTATATAACTCCTGTCCTATATGTACAGTATATAACTCCTGCTCTATCTGTACAGTATATAACTCCTGCTCTATATGTACAGTATATAACTCCTGTCGTATATGTACAGTATATAACTCCTGTCCTATATGTACAGTATATAACTCCTGCTCTATATGTACAGTATATAACTCCTGTCGTATATGTACAGTATATAACTCCTGTCCTATATGTACAGTATATAACTCCTGCTCTATATGTACAGTATATAACTCCTGTCCTATATGTACAGTATATAACTCCTGCTCTATATATACAGTATATAACTCCTGTCCTATATGTACAGTATATAACTCCTGCTCTATATATACAGTATATAACTCCTGCTCTATATGTACAGTATATAACTCTGACCTATATGTACAGTATATAACTCTGACCTATATGTACAGTATATAACTCTGCTCTATATGTACAGTATATAACTCCTGCTCTATATGTACAGTATATAACTCTGCTCTATATGTACAGTATATAACTCTGTTCTATATGTACAGTATATAACTCCTGCTCTATATGTACAGTATATAACTCCTGCTCTATATGTACAGTATATAACTCCTGCTCTATATTTACAGTATATAACTCTGTTCTATATGTACAGTATATAACTCCTGCTCTATATGTACAGTATAGAACTCTGTTCTATATGTACAGTATATAACTCCTGCTCTATATGTACAGTATATAACTCTGCTCTATATGTACAGTATATAACTCCTGCTCTATATGTACAGTATATAACTCTGTTCTATATGTACAGTATATAACTCCTGCTCTATATGTACAGTATATAACTCCTGCTCTATATGTACAGTATATAACTCCTGTCCTATATGTACAGTATATAACTCCTGCTATATGTACAGTATATAACTCCTGCTCTATATGTACAGTATTTAACTCTGTTCTATATGTACAGTATATAACTCTGTCCTATATGTACAGTATATAACTCCTGTCTATATGTACAGTATATAACTCTGCTCGATATGTACAGTATATAACTCCTGTCTATATGTACAGTATATAACTCCTGTCTATATGTACAGTATATAACTCTGTTCTATATGTACAGTATATAACTCCTGCTCTATATGTACAGTATATAACTCCTGCTCTATATGTACAGTATATAACTCCTGTCTATATGTACAGTATATAACTCCTGCTCTATATGTACAGTATATAACTCCTGCTCTATATGTACTGTATATAACTCCTGTCTATATGTACAGTATATAACTCTGTTCTATATGTACAGTATATAACTCCTGCTCTATATGTACTGTATATAACTCCTGTCCTATATGTACAGTATATAACTCCTGCTCTATCTGTACAGTATATAACTCCTGTCTATATGTACAGTATATAACTCCTGTCCTATATCTACAGTATATAACTCTGCTCTATATGTACAGTATATAACTCCTGCTCTATATGTACAGTATATAACTCCTGTCTATATGCACAGTATATAACTCCTGTCCTATATGTACAGTATATAACTCCTGTCCTATATGTACAGTATTTAACTCCTGTCTATATGCACAGTATATAACTCCTGTCTATATGTACAGCATATAACTCCTGCTCTATATGTACAGTATATAACTCCTGTCTATATGTACAGTATATAACTCCTGTCTATATGTACAGTATATAACTCCTGCTCTATATGTACAGTATATAACTCCTGTCCTATATGTACAGTATATAACTCCTGTCTATATGTACAGTATATAACTCCTGTCCTATATGTACAGTATATAACTCCTGTCTATATGTACAGTATATAACTCCTGTCCTATATGTACAGTATATAACTCCTGCTCTATATGTACAGTATATAACTCCTGCTCTATATGTACAGTATATAACTCTGTCTTATATGTACAGTATATAACTCTGTCCTATATGTACAGTATATAACTCCTGTCCTATATGTACAGTATATAACTCCTGTCCTATATGTACAGTATATAACTCCTGTCTATATGTACAGTATATAACTCCTGTCCTATATGTACAGTATATAACTTCTGTCTATATGTACAGTATATAACTCCTGTCCTATATGTACAGTATATAACTTCTGTCCTATATGTACAGTATATAACTCCTGCTGTATATAACTCCTGCTCTATATGTACAGTATATAACTCCTGCTCTATATGTACAGTATATAACTCCTGTCCTATATGTACAGTATATAACTCCTGTCCTATATATACAGTATATAACTCCTGTCCTATATATACAGTATATAACTCCTGTCCTATATGTACAGTATATAACTCCTGTCTATATGTACAGTATATAACTCCTGCTCTATATGTACAGTATATAACTCCTGTCCTATATATACAGTATATAACTCCTGTCCTATATATACAGTATATAACTCCTGTCCTATATGTACAGTATATAACTCCTGTTCTACATGTACAGTATATAACTCTGTCCTATATGTACAGTATATAACTCTGTCCTATATGTACAGTATATAACTCTGTCCTATATGTACAGTATATAACTCTGTCCTATATGTACAGTATATAACTCCTGTCTATATGTACAGTATATAACTCCTGTCCTATATGTACAGTATATAACTCTGTCCTATATGTACAGTATATAACTCCTGTCCTATATGTACAGTATATAACTCTGTCCTATATGTACAGTATATAACTCTGTCCTATATGTACAGTATATAACTCCTGCTCTATATGTACAGTATATAACTCTGTCCTATATATACAGTATATAACTCCTGTCCTATATATACAGTATATAACTCCCGTCCTATATGTACAGTATATAACTCTGTCCTATATGTACAGTATATAACTCCTGTCCTATATGTACAGTATATAACTCCTGCTCTATATGTACAGTATATAACTCTGTCCTATATGTACAGTATATAACTCCTGCTCTATATGTACAGTATATAACTCTGTCCTATATGTACAGTATATAACTCCTGTCCTATATGTACAGTATATAACTCCTGCTCTATATGTACAGTATATAACTCTGTCCTATATGTACAGTATATAACTCCTGTCCTATATGTACAGTATATAACTCCTGCTCTATATGTACAGTATATAACTCTGTCCTATATGTACAGTATATAACTCCTGTCCTATATGTACAGTATATAACTCCTGCTCTATATGTACAGTATATAACTCCTGCTCTATATGTACAGTATATAACTCTGTCCTATATGTACAGTATATAACTCCTGTCCTATATATACAGTATATAACTCCTGTCCTATATGTACAGTATATAACTCCTGTTCTATATGTACAGTATATAACTCTGTCCTATATGTACAGTATATAACTCTGTCCTATATGTACAGTATATAACTCTGTCCTATATGTACAGTATATAACTCTGTCCTATATGTACAGTATATAACTCCTGTCCTATATGTACAGTATATAACTCTGTCCTATATGTACAGTATATAACTCCTGTCCTATATGTACAGTATATAACTCTGTCCTATATGTACAGTATATAACTCTGCTCTATATGTACAGTATATAACTCTGTCCTATATGTACAGTATATAACTCTGTCCTATATATACAGTATATAACTCCTGTCCTATATGTACAGTATATAACTCCTGTCCTATATGTACAGTATATAACTCTGTCCTATATGTACAGTATATAACTCCTGTCCTATATGTACAGTATATAACTCCTGCTCTATATGTACAGTATATAACTCTGTCCTATATGTACAGTATATAACTCCTGCTCTATATGTACAGTATATAACTCTGTCCTATATGTACAGTATATAACTCCTGTCCTATATGTACAGTATATAACTCCTGCTCTATATGTACAGTATATAACTCTGTCCTATATGTACAGTATACAACTCTGCACAACATTTATATTTTTGAAAGACAGGTTTTGAAGCATTTACAGCTAAGAAACATAACTACTACTCTCCTGTCTGTGCGCTGCAACAATGACATTTGCCCACTATTATTTACTAAAAATAACATAAATTATGCTTATTTTTTTTTTAAGTTTTTGTTGCTTGAATGTAGTTTATCAAAAGATTATTTTACCAGTTTTAAGACACTTTATAATCTTAGAGAAAAAGTCAAAGCAGTGGGTTTTTAAGCTTGTTATAAGTATTTTTGTCATTTTTTGATAAAATAATGTGATGCAATATTTTAAGAAAACATTTCTCAAAAATAATTAGTAACTAATCCTTGAAATGTATGTTTTTAAACTAGAATCGAGTCGTTTGGGGCTCGTGTTATTTTCTCATCTTCAGAAATCTTACGTTGTATTTCGTTGTTCCATTTACAGACCATTTTTATTATTCTAAGCATATTTTTCAATCATTAATTTCATTTTTTTCCAACCGAATGTGTTCCAGTGTATCTTGTTTACTCCTCCGTCACACACCTGCTCTGCTCCTGTGAAAAACCCACTCCTCACTCCCACTATCCCCCGCTCTGACAGCTTCATAACACCCAGAGTCTGTACATACGCTTCATTTAGGAATCTTTGTGAAGGAGCAAAAAAGAGCGAGATGTCGGTGGAAAGCGGCGGGTGAACGCTGACACGGGGCAGCACTAATGATGGATGCTCGAGGCGGTCTGGCAGGTCTGCTCCAGGGGTCCAGACCTGATCTGGCGCCCGGGCTACCCACGCCGGCCGCTGACAGGTATCGACTGGCCTCAGAACCAGCCCGTCTCCGTGTGGTCGCCGCGGTGATGCTGCTGCTGCGGTTGTTGTTGTGTGATTACTAGCTAGCGCCCGCTAACATGACGGAGGCCCCCCGCGTCTCGGTCTTTCAGAAACACACACGTCTCTGTTATAAATGGTTGTGCGGTATTGATTTGGCCTCACACGCTCCAATGAAATGTGCAGATTTTATGTTTTCATTTCCTGTGGGATCGACGGCGCACGATCAACCAATCTGCTAAAAGACTTATGGATCCTGAGGCTTCGCTTGTTCTGTTGGTTTGACAAAGGTCTATTTGTCTTCTTCAAGTTTTCCTCTCAGCACCATCCAAGGGTCAGAGTGTGTGTGTGTGTGTGTGTGTGTGTGTGTGTGTACAGTATATGTGTGTGTGTGGAGAGTATATGTGTGTGTGTGTGTGTACAGTATACATTATGTGTGTGTGTGTAGAGTATGTGAGTGTGTGTGTACAGTGTATTTGTGTCTGTGTACAGTATACTGTATGTGTGTGTGTGTGTAGAGTATGTGTGTGTCTGTGTATGGTATACGTGTGTGTGTGTGTGTGTACAGTATGTGTGTGTGTGATTCCAGGTACAGTGTGTGTGTGATTCTATGTACAGTATTTGTGTGTGATTCTGTGTACAGTGTGTGCGTGTGTGTGTGTGTGTGATTCTGTGTACAGTATGTGTGTATGATTCTGTGTACAGTGTGTGTGTGATTCTGTGTACAGTATGTGTGTGTGTGTGTGATTCTGTGTACAGTGTGTGTGTGATTCTGTGTACAGTATGTGTGTGTGTGTGATTCTGTGTACAGTATGTGTGTGTGTGTGTGATTCTGTGTACAGTATGTGTGTGTGTGTGTGTGTGTGATTCTGTGTACAGTGTGTGTGTGTGTGTGCGTGTGTGATTCTGTGTACAGTGTGTGTGTGTGTGCGTGTGTGATTCTGTGTACAGTGTGTGTGTGTGTGTGATTCTGTGTACAGTATGTGTGTGTGTGATTCTGTGTACAGTATGTGTGTGTGTGATTCTGTGTACAATAAGTGTGTGTGCGTGTGTTTGTGTGTGTGTAGGTGTGTGTTTGTGTGTGTGTAGGTGTGTGTTTGTGTGTGTGTAGGTGTGTGTGTACAGTACTTGTTGGGCTGTTAAGCGCCTGGGTACAAACCACACCTGCTACATTTGAGATAAGATAGAAACCATCACAAAAGCCTGTCTCACATTTTCAGGAAGACTGAATCTAAAACGCTGCCTCCCCATGTTTAGTCCTGTCTCTGGGACCAGCAGGAGGCCAGTCCCTGTGCTCCTCAGAGTCCCAGCAGGAGGCCAGTCCCTGTGCTCCTCAGAGTCCCAGCAGGAGGCCAGTCCCTGTGCTCCTCAGAGTCCCAGCAGGAGGCCAGTCCCTGTGCTCTTCAGAGTCCCAGCAGGAGGCCAGTCCCTGTGCTCCTCAGAGTCCCAGCAGGAGGCCAGTGCCCCCTCCCAGCAGTGCTCCCTGTGCTCTCAGAGTCCCAGCAGGAGGCCAGTCCCTGTGCTCTTCAGAGTCCCAGCAGGAGGCCAGTCCCTGTGCTCCTCAGAGTCCCAGCAGGAGGCCAGTCCCTGTGCTCCTCAGAGTCCCAGCAGAGGCCAGGCCAGTCCCTGTGCTCCTCAGAGTCCCCAGCAGGAGTCCAGTCCCTGTGCTCCTCAGAGTCCCAGCAGGAGGCCAGTCCCTGTGCTCCTCAGAGTCCCAGCAGGAGGCCAGTCCCTGTGCTCCTCAGAGTCCCAGCAGGAGGCCAGTCCCTGTGCTCCTCAGAGTCCCAGCAGGAGTCCAGTCCCTGTGCTCCTCAGAGTCCCAGCAGGAGTCCAGTCCCTGTGCTCCTCAGAGTCCCAGCAGGAGTCCAGTCCCTGTGCTCCTCAGAGTCCCAGCAGGAGGGCCAGTCCCTGTGCTCCTCAGAGTCCCAGCAGGAGGCCAGTCCCTGTGCTCTTCAGAGTCCCAGCAGGAGGCCAGTCCCTGTGCTCCTCAGAGTCCCAGCAGGAGGCCAGTCCCTGTGCTCCTCAGAGTCCCAGCAGGAGGCCAGTCCCTGTGCTCCTCAGAGTCCCAGCAGGAGGCCAGTCCCTGTGCTCCTCAGAGTCCCAGCAGGAGGCCAGTCCCTGTGCTCTTCAGAGTCCCAGCAGGAGGCCAGTCCCTGTGCTCCTCAGAGTTGGTTCATATATTGTCCTCATCACAGAACGCCCCCGAGGCAAAACAGGAGGTGGACATAACATTATTTCTACTGATTTACTGATATGTAAATGTAAATATGTGGATCTTAAACACCATACGACCAAAGCCACAGCTGTTGTAGATCTATGAAGACGCAATAAATAAACAAACATGGAGCTACTTAAAATATTACCGCTAGAAATGAGAGGATTTATTGTCCTTATCGTGTGAATGCGTCTGGCCTCACGTCCTCCCGAAGCGGTGAGTGAAGAACAAATGGGACTTTCAAACAAGTGAGGGACAAAACAAAGACTTTTATTTGAAGGAAACACAAAAGGTATTAAATGATAAGGGGTCAGATAGTGCGGCTTAAAGTATCACCGACTCGGAACGGCTCGGAACGACTCGGAACGACTCAGTGAACTCCCGTTTCAGTGGCTAAGAGTGAACTACTACTGCACAGATCGATGGCAGAGCGGCGGAGCGTGAAGTGAGCTCCTGGGATGCGGCCATAAATACCACATAGGAATTTACTTCTCTCTGTATTTGGAACGCCATAAGTCAAAATCCATAGACACACACACACACACACAGGGTACAGACACACACACAGACACACACACACACACAGGGTACAGACACACACACACACTATCACACTAACCACACAGAGCCAAAGCCAAATGCCAGGTCCAGACTAAGACCTGAAATGTAGTATTAGTATTGATTCATGTGATGTGGTTTTGCGGCGCAGACATTCCGTGGTGGTGGAATGATGTCATGGACGAGCAGAACAAGCAGTGAAGACGTTCATGGAGAAAAGTTAAAGGTCCACTGTGTCATTTTACAGTAGCTCCAAATGATAAAACATGTTTAACCAATAACAAATGTGACCGTTTTAGGAATATTTACTTCTGCCATGTTATTGGATTCTTGTCATAGGCTTAGAAAATGTCCGTGAGGCTGAGGACTCTCTATGTCGTAGGTGTCAAAGTCAAGGCCCGGGGGCTGGATCCGGCCCGCGAGACCATTTCCAGAGGCCCTTGTGATTATTTTAAATTAATATATTAAATAGCAGCATTGATGGTATAGGCGACAATGGCATGTTATCATTACTAATTTTCTCAATAAACAACCATAACATTTAGTTCCATAAGAAATGTTAAGCCAACATGTGATTAGAAGTTAGTCTTTAATTAAATTTCTTCTTAAAGATATGAAGGAGGATTTCCCAATTATCTTAGGAAAGAACTGCCCTCTCCACTTTTTGAACAAAAAAGACGAGCACGGATCACCAGAATGATTGACAATTGGGAGGACCAATTGTCTTGATGATCCACCCGGAAGTAAAAAATCTACCCTTTAACCTTCAATATTTGGCCCAGTTTTGGTCCAGTTTTGGTCCAGTCCACAGGAACTGAACTAATTCTAATCAGAAAAGAATATCAAATCGAACTAATGTGAACAAGTCATTTATAGCTTCATATTGTAAAAAAGTATAAATGAAACCCATCTATTCTTTCTGCCCCTGACCAGCCCTTTCACTTTTTATTCGGCCCTCAACCAAAATAAGTTTGACACCCCTTCTCTATGTCATGGCTCCATCTTGAAATACAGTGGCTGAGATGGGACAAAAAGGAGTTTGTGCGGGGGTTGGGAGTTGTCCTGCGAAGCTACCGTAGATTACAAAATATGACACTGGAGGGGAGTAAAAACTACACAGTGTACCTTTAAATAAATTCTAGCAGGGCCCAATAAAATTCTAATGACAGGGAAAATCTGATATTTGGGGTAAATGATTGTATGAGGTAGAGATATACAATCCTGACTTTTTCTTTTGAGAGAGAACTTCACAGGCAATGCGTCCTGGGATGTTGCGTATTGGCAACATTGGCCCGCTGTGGTAAATAGAGGTCACCCGGGGAAAAACCCAGAGGAGATAATCTACTAATGGGCATGAACTGTATCTGTTTATATTCATATTTCATTTGATGCAGTTTTGGTTTCACATTATCAGAGTTTGGTCATGAAACTGATTTGAAATTGATGCCTAGAAAGTCTGTTTTTGTGAAACTAAGGAGACTGTCATTTTAGAAGTGAGACAGCTGCGCCCCCTGGTGAGCAGGAGGAGAACTGTGTGTTGCTAAAGCTCAACTAAGTTCTGAGTAAAAAAGGGTATGAAGGGTATGGATATTAACGTATTAAAAAATGACGTGTTCAAAATCCCTTATAAAGATGACCATGATTCAGAAAGTTAAATTCAAAAAGGTTTATTTCCCTAATACAAAAAGAATCTAAAACAGCTGTTCGGACCAAAAGTAACTATCCCTTATTCTCTATATAAAGTATAAAAGTATAACATTTGAGTGGGCGCTCCACACCAAAAGTCACACACTGTCCCTGGTCCGGTCTAGACTAACACAAGCATGAGGTTATTATAAGTAACAGGGGCGTGTCGTATCAGTCAGCTCTCGGTCCCGGGTCCGGCCTCCATCAGGTCTCCTCCAGACCTAAACAGAATCATTCACACACTCCCCCTCCCCAACCTATAGATTTATTAGTTCCTTTGAGATAAGGCAGAGGGCTCTCAAGGCTTCTCCTCCAGATTCTGGGCTCCATCTCCTTCTTTCACAACTTGAAAGGATTAGCAGAATCCCCCCAGATTAACTATAATTAACTCACCCATGCACTTTGGACAAAATGGGACCAGGGGAGTAGGGCAATACAAGGTCTTTCTTTTTGCTTGGAAACAGACAGAGTTCAATTTCAGGTCAATCTAATTCACATCGCCTTTTAGCCTATATTTAATACAACAGTTTCCCTCTCTTGGCCGCTCTTAAAAAGGCCACACCTTTCAATAACCTTCCTCAGGCGACGGGACGGGGGAATCCTCAACCAATGCAAGCATTTGACCTCTCAGTCCGGGTTAACAGCGGTATCTATAGCTTTAACACAAAGAGAACGTATACAAGGTATACAGCAGCATCCTACAACCATTATTATTGCAAAGATGGCCGGAAGGCTTGTGATAACAGACAAAATTACATGCTTCCACCTCCCCAAGATGCTGTCCAGCCACGCCTCCAGTGGGTTCTCCGGGGACCACTGAAAACGTACATGCATTTGCCTCCTGACAGCATTTTGAGACCAAGCCAAGCCCTGAAACTGATCCACTGGATGTGGTGTTTTATTTGGAATGTTATACCAAGCATCTCTGTACCAATAAACTTCAGACCCCACCTCCATCTGCTAATTAGCATGTCTATCGCCACTCCTTTTTTTGAAATGTCTACCAAGAGGTGGCCCCCAGCTGCTCCGCCAACCTCTATTGCGTCCCTGGTGTGATTGGCAAGCCAAAGCATAGTATAACCCAAAATGAAATTAAATTCTATCTACATTTTTTGTTTTGCGGATATGTAAAATACGGAAATTATTGGAAGATTTTTCGAAACCGTTGCAATGATCTACCAGTTTGAATTCATGAGGGACTTCCACGTGGAACACCTATAGAGTTCCATGTAAGTTGGATTATCGTTTCCCTATCTAAGGAAGGGATTCCCTTTTAAATCTATGCTTGGGGACTGTCTAGGGATGGCTTATGGCCAATTATGAAATGGGCACATAATCGCACAATCACAACTACCGGTAAACATTTTTATTAGTCTATGTCTAAGTTTAAAATCTCCACACAACCAATACAAATCACCACTGGTCCGGGTCATGGGACCGGACTGGGCAGGGTGACGTTGTTGACACAGCACCACCATCTGCTGGAAGGACCCCCCACTGGAGACGGCGGCCATCGTCCCTACCATGAGTGAGTGGAAACAGGTTACTTGCTTTCCCAGTGGGAAAACATAGGGGCTGACTTTCTGAATCCAATTCTGGAAACAATACTTCAAACATTGAACAGTTGCTAGGGACTGTCCTTTGTCTCCACAAGATCAGGTCCCTTTTCTTGCCAAACAACTTTTCAAACAATTATAACCATCTAATCTTCTGGGAAAAAGTGGAGCAGGGGCTGTATACAAAGTGGGACGTGCAAGTGGGAGCACACAACACAACGACAAAAAGCCCAGCAGAACCGCTGACATCTGCTCCACTGTCCAAAACCAAGCGAATCTATCCCCAAATCCAGTTGCCTTGTTTTAACTATTCAGAAACTGTCCCAGTCAGTCAGTCACATGTAACGTTTGTTTGTCCCTTGGCCATACTTCCCATATCTATGGCCTCCTGTCTAGCCCTTGTCCTCGGGTAGGCACATATGAAATCCATTATTCTAAATTCTCCTGGATAATGTCCAATAACTAAGTCCCATGTCACATCAATCCCCACAATTTTCACAGTGACCTAGCACCTTTTTTTGTGAGTGTCTGTATCAGAATCACTCCCGACGCCTTCAATCAGTGTTCATTATTAAAACCCCAATCCCGGACCTGTATTAAGATATAGCCATACTCCCAAGCATCACAGGTGCAGTCCACCGATGCTCTAAAAGCTTTTTCCATGTCTCTCATCATTACAGTACGGTGTGTAAACACAGGTTAGAGTGTGTATCAGTCGAAAGGATAATGGAAAGATGTTTGCCATATGTATGTGGGCTTAATTGGTCGCACCCCACCGGGCATTTTTACGGTCACAATCGTAGGTAGAGGTCTCTAAAACGCTGCCTATCATCCTATGGATCTTTTTATTTCTGTCAGTCTTATTGGTACCACAGACTGGATTGTGTACAAGTCTGGCCCTGTCTCTTAGCTGGTTGTGTTTTTCTAACACTTCCCATTTTAAAATCCAGGACCACGACCAAACCAACTGCAGAGCGATAGCCCTTAGATGGCTCTCCCTCTTTTGGTCGTGGACCCAGGGCTCCTGTCCCCAGGCAACATATTAAGAGGAGTGTAAGCGCTGTGTGTGAGTCACTGTCCGCAACCCGTGAGCGTGGTTACAGGGTGGTCAGATGGTCTCCTTGTTGTCGTGGCTCACCAGGAGCTTCAGGGTAAGTCGGACACATGGTGTGATGCTGTGGTTGTACATGTTTAAATGTGTGTAAACGTGTCTCTTCTCCATCAGAGGACGCACAACAGCCGGCCACACCAGCACCACGGTAATCCACATAGTCCTCTCAGAGCCTTCATGGTTCTCTGCTGATGGTCCTGAAGTTTATGTTTGTGAGGCCTTTTCCAGCTCCAGAGCCCAGCCACCGTCCACGCCTCCTTCCCCCCCCCCCCTCACACTGAGAGAGGAGACCCCAGAGGAGGATGGTCTGCCCCACATGGTCCAGGCCCTGTCAGAGTCTGTCCCCAAAGACCTGGATGTCCTGTTCCCTGGCCGGACCACAGAGGAGGTCCAGACCAGAGAGGAGGTCCAGCCCAGAGAGGAGGACCAGACCAGAGAGGAGGACCAGACCAGAGAGGAGGTCCAGACCAGAGAGGAGGTCCAGACCACAGAGGAGGTCCAGACCAGAGAGGAGGTCCAGACCACAGAGGAGGACCAGCCCAGAGAGGAGGTCCAGACCACAGAGGAGGTCCAGACCACAGAGGAGGACCAGACCACAGAGGAGGTCCAGACCAGAGAGGAGGTCCAGACCACAGAGGAGGACCAGACCACAGAGGAGGTCCAGACCAGAGAGGAGGTCCAGACCACAGAGGAGGTCCAGACCACAGAGGAGGTCCAGACCAGAGAGGAGGTCCAGACCAGAGAGGAGGACCAGACCACAGAGGAGGTCCAGACCAGAGAGGAGGTCCAGACCACAGAGGAGGTCCAGACCACAGAGGAGGTCCAGACCACAGAGGAGGTCCAGACCAGAGAGGAGGTCCAGACCAGAGAGGAGGACCAGACCACAGAGGAGGTCCAGACCACAGAGGAGGTCCAGACCACAGAGGAGGACCAGACCACAGAGGAGGACCAGACCACAGAGGAGGTCCAGACCACAGAGGAGGACCAGACCACAGAGGAGGACCAGACCAGAGAGGAGGACCAGACCACAGAGGAGGTCCAGACCAGAGAGGAGGTCCAGACCAGAGAGGAGGACCAGACCACAGAGGAGGACCAGACCACAGAGGAGGTCCAGACCACAGAGGAGGACCAGACCAGAGAGGAGGACCAGACCACAGAGGAGGACCAGACCACAGAGGAGGACCAGACCAGAGAGGAGGACCAGACCAGAGAGGAGGACCAGACCACAGAGGAGGTCCAGACCAGAGAGGAGGTCCAGACCAGAGAGGAGGACCAGACCACAGAGGAGGACCAGACCACAGAGGAGGTCCAGACCAGAGAGGAGGACCAGACCACAGAGGAGGTCCAGACCACAGAGGAGGTCCAGACCACAGAGGAGGACCAGACCACAGAGGAGGTCCAGACCACAGAGGAGGACCAGACCAGAGAGGAGGTCCAGACCCCAGAAGAAGACCAGACCATTGAGAAAGACCAGACCGTGGTGGATGTACTGGACACAGATTAAGACCAGACCATTACTTTCGTCCGGTCCATCTGTTGGGACCAGACGTCAGACACTGAGGATGAGGAGGATGAGGAGGATGAGGAGAACATATCTGAAGTCCAGCCGATAACTTTGGTCCAGTCCATAAGTTTAGACCAGACTTCAGACACCGAGGATGAGGAGGATGTGGAGGATGAGGAGCCCAACGCTCCCCCTGAGCACCTCTCCATGGGGGAGCCAAATCCCTCGGTGCAGGTCCTCTCTGAGACCGACCTTGAGCCTGAGGGTGATGCAGGAAGGTTCAGGAGAAGAAGCCTGAACTTGGAGAACTGTGGGTGAGTATGGACCCCATGATGAAGGACAGTAAGGTGATGGGGTCGCAGCTCAATGATCCAGTGTGTGTTTGCAGACTCCCAAACGGTGCTTACTGGTGTTACCAGAACGCCTTGGTGCAGCTCCTGAGGACAGCAGGACCTCTCATGTCCACGCTCAGCGCTCAGGAGACTGTTTGGACTCATTGTGAGGAAGCAGAGCTGCTGAGGTGAGGAGCAGCTGTTTGGAACTAAAGCTGGGATTGTATTTACAGCCAAGTGTGTAGCTGACGACAGATGTGTAGTGTCTACACGTCGGCCTCTGTCTGCATGCAGACGCTGGTGCAGAGCTTCAGGCGGACTGTGGCCCTCTCTGCTCCCATGTTTGGAGGCTCTGAGCAGCAGGTGACTCCATCTTCTCCTTTGCTTCATCCTAATGTGAAAGTATTGTCTGTGTTTAGTCCTCCATGAGTCTGACTGTGATGTTCCACTGGCAGGATGTCCATGAGTTCCTGATGTCACTGATGGAGCAGATCCAGGGCCTGAGCTCCATCTTGCAGGTGTTTGCCTGGAGCCAGGAGCTGGAGTACGTCTGCCCGGTGTCAGCGCACGTGACCTTCTGCATGGACAGCACCAGGACCTGTAAGAAGTGAGTCCACATCCAGCACTTTGCCTCATGGCCTCTGATGCTGCAGCACTTTGGACTTCAGTCTCATGGTGTCAACATGTTCATTGCTTTAACATTTAGATTAAACTGGATGAGTACTGTCTAACTTTCTCATGTTGTGTCTGTCAGCTGTGGTCAGGGGTCCTCAAGGCAGGAGACCTTCACCATCCTCTCCCTGGACCTGCTTCCTGATCGGTCTGTGGACGAACTTCTGCAGAACCATTTAAAGGTATGTGCTAAACATGGCAGTATTAAACCCTGTGTTTGTTCAGCATCAGTTCAGGTGTGGGTGTGAAGGCCGGCGTTCTGGCATGACCTCTGCCACTCTGCCAAAGTAAGTCTCAACATCATCAACTAATACATCCTGAAGCTACTTTAACATGCTTTCTTTATTCAGTGTCCTAATCCTCCACCTCAAGAGGTTTGCGCATGACCACAACTTCAATATGCAAAATCTCAAGTATAAGGTCAGACTGGACCAGAGGATTGTGCTCAAATCCAAACAGGTGAGAACAGCACTTTATGACTGAAATAAAAGTGCTGTAGTGAATCTACAGAACACAGTGTTATGTTCCTTATGTCTCAAATGTATAATGCTCTTTCTTCAGGACACGGCACAGTTCAATCTGGTGAACGTCGACTCTCATTTTGTCTTGTTGAGTGACTGAAAGTCCATGTGTGTTTAGGTCATTACATCAGTGACGGGGCGGACCCCAAGAGCCATGGCTGGTCTACGACGATAGGACTGTGTCCAGGACCGACAGGAAGACGGTGTGTGGCATCAGGGAGAGAGAGGCCTACATCCTCACCTACCAACGAGAGGGTCTGTAAGAGCAACACCAGGGTCCACTACAGTCGGCTCCAGTGTCTCAGATTCACCCAAGCCAAACGTGAAAGCCAAACGTGCGTGTGTGGCTTTCAAGCCACACACGCACAGCCAGAGCGTGAAGGCAGGGAGCAGAGTTTGTGGCAGTAAAGTGTGGATTTAAAGAAAACCGAAGGATTTAAGAAGAAAAAAAGTTCAGGATGACAAGGGACACAAAAATCTCCACAAAATCTGACCTTTATGAAAGCTGTAGGTTCTCTGTCAGGTTCTCTGTCAGCTGAGGTCGTGCTGTTTTAATATACATTGAGTTCTATGGGACTTTTTTCTGGGTAGCCCTCGTGAATTTAGTCTGCAGTACCACAGCGCCCCCTATGCCCATGCGTGGGACAGCTTCGAGCTAGTAATACCCTATCCAGTTATTATAGATACATATAACCCAATTCACCGCACTTCTGTCTCGTTAGCAGCACTTGTTTACAGTCTCGTTAGCAGCACTTGTTTACAGTCTCGTTAGCAGCACTTGTTTACAGTCTCGTTAGCAGCACTTGTTTACAGTCTCGTTAGCCGCACTTGTTTACAGTCTCGTTAGCAGCACTTGTTTACAGTCTCGTTAGCAGCACTTGTTTACAGTCTCGTTAGCAGCACTTGTTTACAGTCTCGTCAACAGCACTTGTTTACAGACACGTTAGCAGCACTTGTTTACAGTCTCGCTAATAGCACTTGTTTACAGTCTTGTTAGCAGCACTTGTTTACAGTCTCGTTAGCAGCACTTGTTTACAGTCTCGTTAGCAGCACTTGTTTAAAGGTCTCGTTAGCAGCACTTGTTTACAGTCTCGTTAGCAGCACTTGTTAACAGTCTCATTAGCAGCACTTGTTTAAAGGTCTCGTTAGCAGCACTTGTTTACAGTCTCGTTAGCAGCACTTGTTTACAGTCTCGTTAGCAGCACTTGTTTACAGTCTCGTTAGCAGCACTTGTTTACAGTCTTGTTAGAAGCACTTGTTTACAGTCTCGTTAGCAGCACTTGTTTACAGTCTCGTTAGCAGCACTTGTTTAAAGGTCTTGTTAGCAGCACTTGTTTACAGTCTTGTTAGCAGCACTTGTTTACAGTCTCGTTAGCAGCACTTGTTTACAGTCACGTTAGCAGCACTTGTTTACATTCTCGTTAGCAGCACTTTTTTACAGTCTCGTTAGCAGCACTTGTTTACAGTCTCGTTAGCAGCACTTGTTTACAGTCTTGTTAGCAGCACTTGTTTACAGTCTCGTTAGCAGCACTTGTTTACAGTCTCGTTAGCAGCACTTGTTTACAGTCACGTTAGCAGCACTTGTTTACATTCTCGTTAGCAGCACTTTTTTACAGTCTCGTTAGCAGCACTTGTTTACAGTCTCGTTAGCAGCACTTGTTTACATTCTCGTTAGCAGCACTTGTTTACAGTCTCGTTAGCAGCACCTTTTTACAGTCTCGTTAGCGGCACTTGTTTAGTCTCGTTAGCAGCCCTTGTTTACAGTCTCGTTAGCAGCACTTGTTTACAGTCACGTTAGCAGCACTTGTTTACAGTCTCGTTAGCAGCCCTTGTTTACAGTCTCGTTAGCAGCACTTGTTTACAGTCTCGTTAGCAGCACTTGTTTACAGTCTCGTCAACAGCACTTGTTTACAGACACGTTAGCAGCACTTGTTTACAGTCTCGCTAATAGCACTTGTTTACAGTCTTGTTAGCAGCACTTGTTTACAGTCTCGTTAGCAGCACTTGTTTACAGTCTCGTTAGCAGCACTTGTTTAAAGGTCTCGTTTGCAGCACTTGTTTACAGTCTCGTTAGCAGCACTTGTTTACATTCTCGTTAGCAGCACTTGTTTACAGTCTCGTTAGCAGCACCTTTTTACAGTCTCGTTAGCGGCACTTGTTTAGTCTCGTTAGCAGCCCTTGTTTACAGTCTCGTTAGCAGCACTTGTTTACAGTCTCGTTAGCAGCACTTGTTAACAGTCTCATTAGCAGCACTTGTTTAAAGGTCTCGTTAGCAGCACTTGTTTACAGTCTCGTTAGCAGCACTTGTTTACAGTCTCGTTAGCAGCACTTGTTTACAGTCTCGTTAGCAGCACTTGTTTACAGTCTTGTTAGAAGCACTTGTTTACAGTCTCGTTAGCAGCACTTGTTTACAGTCTCGTTAGCAGCACTTGTTTAAAGGTCTTGTTAGCAGCACTTGTTTACAGTCTTGTTAGCAGCACTTGTTTACAGTCTCGTTAGCAGCACTTGTTTACAGTCACGTTAGCAGCACTTGTTTACATTCTCGTTAGCAGCACTTTTTTACAGTCTCGTTAGCAGCACTTGTTTACAGTCTCGTTAGCAGCACTTGTTTACAGTCTCGTTAGCAGCACTTGTTTAAAGGTCTCGTTAGCAGCACTTGTTTACAGTCTCGTTAGCAGCACTTGTTAACAGTCTCATTAGCAGCACTTGTTTAAAGGTCTCGTTAGCAGCACTTGTTTACAGTCTCGTTAGCAGCACTTGTTTACAGTCTCGTTAGCAGCACTTGTTTACAGTCTCGTTAGCAGCACTTGTTTACAGTCTTGTTAGAAGCACTTGTTTACAGTCTCGTTAGCAGCACTTGTTTACAGTCTCGTTAGCAGCACTTGTTTAAAGGTCTTGTTAGCAGCGCACTTGTTTACAGTCTTGTTAGCAGCACTTGTTTACAGTCTCGTTAGCAGCACTTGTTAACAGTCTCATTAGCAGCACTTGTTTAAAGGTCTCGTTAGCAGCACTTGTTTACAGTCTCGTTAGCAGCACTTGTTTACAGTCTCGTTAGCAGCACTTGTTTACAGTCTCGTTAGCAGCACTTGTTTACAGTCTTGTTAGAAGCACTTGTTTACAGTCTCGTTAGCAGCACTTGTTTACAGTCTCGTTAGCAGCACTTGTTTAAAGGTCTTGTTAGCAGCACTTGTTTACAGTCTTGTTAGCAGCACTTGTTTACAGTCTCGTTAGCAGCACTTGTTTACAGTCACGTTAGCAGCACTTGTTTACATTCTCGTTAGCAGCACTTTTTTACAGTCTCGTTAGCAGCACTTGTTTACAGTCTCGTTAGCAGCACTTGTTTACAGTCTTGTTAGCAGCACTTGTTTACAGTCTCGTTAGCAGCACTTGTTTACAGTCTCGTTAGCAGCACTTCTTTACAGTCACGTTAGCAGCACTTGTTTACATTCTCATTAGCAGCACTTTTTTACAGTCTCGTTTGCAGCACTTGTTTACAGTCTCGTTAGCAGCACTTGTTTACATTCTCGTTAGCAGCACTTGTTTACAGTCTCGTTAGCAGCACCTTTTTACAGTCTCGTTAGCGGCACTTGTTTAGTCTCGTTAGCAGCCCTTGTTTACAGTCTCGTTAGCAGCACTTGTTTACAGTCTCGTTAGCAGCACTTGTTAACAGTCTCATTAGCAGCACTTGTTTAAAGGTCTCGTTAGCAGCACTTGTTTACAGTCTCGTTAGCAGCACTTGTTTACAGTCTCGTTAGCAGCACTTGTTTACAGTCTTGTTAGAAGCACTTGTTTACAGTCTCGTTAGCAGCACTTGTTTACAGTCTCGTTAGCAGCACTTGTTTAAAGGTCTTGTTAGCAGCACTTGTTTACAGTCTCGTTAGCAGCACTTGTTTACAGTCACGTTAGCAGCACTTGTTTACATTCTCGTTAGCAGCACTTTTTTACAGTCTCGTTAGCAGCACTTGTTTACAGTCTCGTTAGGCAGCACTTGTTTACAGTCTCGTTAGCAGCACTTGTTTAAAGGTCTCGTTAGCAGCACTTGTTTACAGTCTCGTTAGCAGCACTTGTTAACAGTCTCATTAGCAGCACTTGTTTAAAGGTCTCGTTAGCAGCACTTGTTTACAGTCTCGTTAGCAGCACTTGTTTACAGTCTCGTTAGCAGCACTTGTTTACAGTCTTGTTAGCAGCACTTGTTTACAGTCTGTTAGCAGCACTTGTTTACAGTCTCGTTAGCAGCACTTGTTTACAGTCTTGTTAGCAGCACTTGTTTACAGGTCTTGTTAGCAGCACTTGTTTACAGTCTTGTTAGCAGCACTTGTTTACAGTCACGTTAGCAGCACTTGTTTACAGTCTCGTTAGCAGCACTTTTTTACATTCTCGTTAGCAGCACTTTTTACAGTCTCGTTAGCAGCACTTGTTTACAGTCTCGTAGCAGCACTTGTTTAGTCTTGTTAGCACTTGTTTACAGTCTCGTTAGCAGCACTTGTTTACAGTCTCGTTAGCAGCACTTGTTTACAGTCACGTTAGCAGCACTTGTTTACATTCTCGTTAGCAGCACTTTTTTACAGTCTCGTTAGCAGCACTTGTTTACAGTCTCGTTAGCAGCACTTGTTTACATTCTCGTTAGCAGCACTTGTTTACAGTCTCGTTAGCAGCACCTTTTTACAGTCTCGTTAGCGGCACTTGTTTAGTCTCGTTAGCAGCCCTTGTTTACAGTCTCGTTAGCAGCACTTGTTTACAGTCACGTTAGCAGCACTTGTTTACAGTCTCGTTAGCAGCCCTTGTTTACAGTCTCGTTAGCAGCACTTGTTTACAGTCTCGTTAGCAGCACTTGTTTACAGTCTCGTCAACAGCACTTGTTTACAGACACGTTAGCAGCACTTGTTTACAGTCTCGCTAATAGCACTTGTTTACAGTCTTGTTAGCAGCACTTGTTTACAGTCTCGTTAGCAGCACTTGTTTACAGTCTCGTTAGCAGCACTTGTTTAAAGGTCTCGTTAGCAGCACTTGTTTACAGTCTCGTTAGCAGCACTTGTTAACAGTCTCATTAGCAGCACTTGTTTAAAGGTCTCGTTAGCAGCACTTGTTTACAGTCTTGTT